AGCTTCCCTGCTGAGGGCCTACACTGGGCCTCAATATATTCCCTCCACAAAGAATTCCACAAAATATGGAGGTGTTGATGAAAGCAATGAGTGGGACACAAGAACCCACGTCAACTCGAGCATTTTTATTTACTGCTGGTGATGTGACGCCCAGTGGAATATAGTATTGACCAAAAGATATTAAACAATTTTACATGCAAGATGCACACTGTCTAGAAGAAACTGTGTTTCAATTGACTAGCTGTAGTGTGTCATCTACACTGCACATTGTATACCATTAATGGTACATAAGGAAAATGAGAGAATAAGAGGTGTAATACGTTGGAATTAATTTTTTGTTAAACATTCACAGGGAAATCTAGAGATTGACAATGTATTGGGCATGAAAAGTAATTTCACAATTATTGATCGTTACAGTCCCAGTCTCCAGTCTGTCATAAAATGACATTGTTGGTCTCATTACAGCCTCTAGTGGACAGTAGTAATCCACTTCACAGACCTGTCATACCATTTGCTCAAATGACAAGCGTTATCAACGCGGAGGTTACTCCAGGAGAGCATGAACATACAAGTCATTCTCATCCCCTGGCAAAAAGGATTTTTGAATACAATCAAAGGTTTGCTGTCATTGCTTGTAAGGTGCCTTGCTTTACACATCAGGTATTAGCATTGGCTTGTAAATAAACGGGGAACTTCTGCTATTCATTTCAGCTTCTGACAGCTTTCATAAAACCTAAATTCATCTCAAATATTTTTATAACAGAAAATATTGGTTGCCACGTTTTTGGCTTAAGTAAGATGTTTTTATTCCAACTCAGAATCTGCCGACTGTCCAATTCACCTCCTATCTATTTATAGCCCTCTCGCATTCAGATAAGTTTTGCTAATGCAGTTATTTTCATTATTATTTCAGACATATGCAGCTGATTTAAGGTATTTTAACAGCTTTAACAAATGAGAAACTATAATTTGGATTGCAGCTGGCTAATTAAGGTATGCTTTCCTCAGGAAAGTTAAAAATGTACACGATCTGAAGAATAATGTATTTGGACTGCATTCTTTAAGTGCCACTTGTGTGAACATAATAAAATATGACTAACATCTTTACTTTTTGTGTATTCACTTAGAAATGAGTGTACCTCCTGTCAAAACAGAGATGCCGAGGATGTTCTCCAGAACTCTGTGATTGATTTCAGATGCAAGGAAATTAGACTGATAGACACAGAGAGCTAATGCTGTCTCTTTAAAGCCACAAGTACCTCATGCAAATTAACATTTAGTGAAATGAGAGCAAAGCATTCATGAAGACTAAGCAAGTATGTAGTACTACACTGTGACTCAAAGTGAAAAATCTTATGGGCTAAAATGCTGTGGTCCTTTGCAAGTGAATTCAAAGGAAAGGCTGCCCTTAAATTCTTTATGTTACCACATTGTGGCTAGGTTGTAGGCTGCTGAACAAATCATTATTTGTCATGCCTTACAGTATAGGTAATGGGATATTTAGGTACAGAAATATTTACCTTATCATTGTCTTGATTTTTTAAAAGAAGCAATCAAGTTCCTCTTTAAATAACAATAGCTTCAATAGCTTTTAAATAACAATAGGTCCTTAGATGCAGATTTTTTGCTTTTTCTAAAACAGGCGAAGCAATTAATCAGGGAATTAAGAAAACTGAAGAATCCTCTGAAGTCTTAAAATCAAGTGTGATTTAGTCTTCTGAATAAGTTTTCGGTCAGTTACAGGTCTCTGATCTGGAAGGAAGATCAGCTAACCTACCAGTGACCACTCCAGGACGGACCACAACCACAGTTAGCCCCATAAGCTGTTCCAACAGTGACCAGCGGGAAATAAAAGTGCTTGGCCCTTCTCTAGAAAGGTGCTTGACTGGTCTAGGCACCTCTCAAGTAATAACTGTTATGACCACCAGGCTGGTGGTCTGAGGTCTCCCCCCACGTTCTGGTCTCCACATATCTCCCCTGCAGTTACCCCTGTGTCTGGTGTGAGAAGAAGGAACAAGCACAAATGGAAACTAAACAGCTGTCTTATTCCTAGAAGTGATCACTTCATGTTGGGTTCAAAGTACACCAGCAGGGCACAGAAGGGAAGCTGTACTCTGTGGAAAATGCTTAGTTTCCAGGGATGTCAAGGCAGTGCTGTTAACATTCAACCAGTGGTGCAGACCTCAGGAGAATTCACCAGCTGCTTTCTGGGAGGGGGCTCTCAGATGCTAGCAGGGAGCAGACAGAGGCCACAAGTCCTTGTAAGAGACATGTGTTGTCCCTTTAAATCATACCTGGTACAGGGACTTATCTGGGAGTTCACTTACACCGTTTTTTTTTTTCTGTCTGTTAAGGGCGTTATGGTCTAGACAGATTAGATTAGCATCTATCGTGTAAACACTTAGGGTTGGGAAATAACTCTTGACCTTTCTTAAAGTTTCTTACCCACATATAAGGCAGTGTGGTTTCCAAAATCTGCCACAGTCTCTCTGATCAATGCTATACATATTTTGATAAGTGCAATGAGTTTTAAGGGGAGATGGGGAATGGGCTAGAATGGACTGGTTACCTGTTTGGACAGATACAGGGATTGAAAACATGGATTTTTGACTCCTTAAGTCTTTTAATGGCCCCAACAGAGCTGTTCTGGTCTATTGAACAAATCCTTCCTACCTCATGGATCATTGACCTATCAGACCTCCAGAGCCAGTGTGCTCAATCCTACTGCTAAGTCTGCTCATTTTGTTCACACTCTAAAAATCATTATATTTTGTTGAGAAAAAGCACAGCTTATGAATAACAGCTATTTTCTACTCTCACTGTCTCTTCTTCTTCACAAAATATGATACGTATGGGCCTTGGCCCCAAAGCTGTCATGCAAATTCATAACTCAGGTTTATCAAATTCATTCAATATGGGTAAATCTGGTCTCATGCCTTGGTTTCAAGACAGAGACAAGTGCAAGTTGCTTTATGTCCAAGACAAAAGTAATTTTGTATCTGTATTTTCTTCAAAAAGAAAACTAATAACTAGTACAGTATTAACCAGCAAGTCAGTAACAGTTCTGAATGTCGGTATCTTTTACACAGAAAAGAGCTGTGTTTGTTTTCAAAAGGTATCATACAGCACAAAACAGCAGGCACCTGATGCACAGGAATGGTGACTTGGAATGGTTCATAAACATCAAACAAAAATTTAAATTGAATAACTTTGCTGTGGAGGAATTGCTATATCCCCTTAGATTTGATTCATAGTCACGGTTGGCTGGAAAATCCCCAGGCAGAGATAGACCACAGGCATGACAGCGTATTGCCTGGAGGGTAAGAAGTTCTCAGCCTGCAAGGCTTTGACCAACAACCTAGGTGAGCATGGTAAACATTTACCTTCAATTTATCCAATTACAAGCTGAGTGGGCATTTTTCCCATTTATTCTGCAAGGTCACAGGGATATGCTCAAAGAACCCTGAAACTCTGTGGTTTAAAAAAAAAAAAAAAAAGTCCTGGGAAAAATGACAGGAGGCATGAGGTAGGATACTACTTTAAATCAGAATTATTTCTGCTTGCACATACCATGTTGTAACTACACTGGCATCACTTTGACTTCTTACTGGACAGAGGCAGCATCTTTCCCTCAGAGATCTGACAGATCTTCATGTTCTCTTTTTACCCTTCAGCAGAGGCCTTTCTACTAATAGGCAACAATTGTTCTCATATTACTGTCATATCACGTCTCTCTCTTTCACCCTGCCCACTTTTTCCACAGGAGAGCTTCCATTTATACTTGCTCTCCTCTGCTTTATCTGTCCTTGATCTGCTCTCATATCATCCTCATATGATATTATTCATTTATTTATACTTAAGGTAGTGAAAGATACTTATTCAAAGCTCTCGAAGCCCTGACACAAATATTACAAGCAAAACACAACAGTGTGAAATAAGTTTTATTAAAAGGAACTTAGCTGGGCAACAGGTACACCAGAGACACCTGCCTTCTGAAAGCCTATTTTTAATCTTCTCTCAAAGCGCCCTCAGGGCCTCTTCAAAAATCGTAAAATTCAAAGTCTTGTGAAGTGTAAGTTCTATCACAGACACAGACTCGCTCGTGTGCGGATTGTTCTGTCATGGGGTCAAGTAAAGCCAAGAGAGTGGAGTGGACACCTGGGGGCAGGACCATCTCATGACCTGCTGTTCCTACTCAAGAGAAGCTGGTTCTGAAAGGTTTCTAACAATAGATTTTTCACAGTTTATATTCTCATAGAATCATAGAATCGTTAAGGTTGGAAAAGACCTTTAAGATCATCAAGTCCAGATTGTTAATCCAGTACCACTAGCACGTTCACCATTAAACCATGCAGTCAAGTGCCATTAGCCACACATTTTCTGAACACTCCCAAGGACTGTACCACTTCCCTGTGAAGTCTGTTCCAATGATTTACAATCCTTTCTGTGAAATTTTTTTTCCTAATATCTAATCTAAACCTACCCTCATGCAACCTGAGCCCATTTCCTCTTGTCTTGAAAGTCCTCTAATCTTCTTTGTGCAAGAGGACATAAAAATGGCCTCATAGTGGCTGTAGGACAACAGTGGTCACAAGCAGATGCTTAAGGAGACATGGGCATTGTCTCCTTACTACTACACACTACTTCCTCCATATACTCTCCAGCCTCCCACTGTTTTCAGCTTAAGGGACTTTCTGATCAGGATGCGGTTTCTGGCTATTTAGTGATCCTCGATGGATTATGTCCCAAGATTTGTGCCGTCTTCTCCATCAGCACCTGTAAACTGTAGATATGTGCTATGTCACACTGCACAGATTGAGACTCTGATGCAAGAGGAATCACCTCATCCTGCCTGCTTCATTCAATGTTCCTAGCTATTGCTTGACAGATATTTACAGCCCTCTATCATATTGCATCTAAATTATCCTTCTTGCAGGCTGGAAAGGTTGTTACACAAACCAGTCTGTTAAAGGCTTCACTGCTTCTGCCGCAGTTCTTACCTGGTTTTGAGTCCCTCTGTTTCGGTCTTACTCCTGTGACATCTTCACTCCCTCCGTTCTTCTGCCTGCAGAAAAGAGATAGTGAAAATTATCCTTTGCTTTCGCAGAACTGTGGTGACACAGTGAAGTACAAGTATTATTACCATGAAAGCAATACAGAATGCTCTCTTTCCCCAAGGCTTAGCCAAGGACTCAGAAAAGCAACAACTCCACATATCAAGGACAAGACAGAATAGTATTAATGTAAACAAAAATAAGCCCATGGTTCTATCTACATTTTTTTCATACTTGTTTAGCAAC